ATTATCAAAAAAAAATTTTATTTAAATATTTTAAAAATTAAAAAATATAGATCATAAGTATATTTATGATAATTTTTAGACAAATTTGCCTGGAAAAGCTTATAGTTTAAGAGATAAGAATTATAAGAACCTTTTTTTTTTAAAAATAATAAATATGGTACAAGAACCTTTTTTTTAATAAAAAAACTAAGATTAATACTAAGATTATAAGATGTTTTATATATATATATATATATATATATATATATAAGAATTTTTGTGTTTCGTGTTTCAACTTTTACAACTTTTATAAGCTAGTAATTACAATATCAACTTCATTTACACCTTATTATATTGAAGATTATGAACCAATCTCTCTTACTTAAGTGAACTTGAAGATTATAAACTAGCATCTACTTACTCAAATAGGCCTGAAGATTGTGAACCAATATCAGTCTATTCAGATAGACATGAAGAATATGAACCAACACCTACTTGCCAGAATGAACTCAAAGTTGGTAAAACAAATCAAGCTAATAATTATAAAGTTGTATCTACTAAATAAAATGAAACCTTTTCAAAAAGAATTTTTTTTATCTGTATTTAGAATGTTTTGCTTATATTTGTTTGTATTACAGATCTTTTGTATAGTTATACTTTAAAAAAGAAAATGGTTTTGCAAAATGTGAATTCTGTAATACAAAATTAGTATATCAAGATAGAACAACATCAAATCTTAGAAAGCATCTTAAACAGTATAAGAAAAAAGTATCTGAGTTGAAAGAATTAGATATAAAAAAACAAGTGGTGTTTCTGTTATTGATATATTAAATAATAATAATATAAGTTTTGAAAATATGCAATAGTTAGAGGAAATACAAATTACTTAAGATATAATTATATTTACTAGATCAATTATAATCCCTGTGAACCTTTCAGTAAAGATGAATTAAATAATCTTATCAAGTGATAGATTATTAAATATAACTGATCATTTCAAATCACTAAAGATGTAGAACTTGAATTGATCTTTAAGTATTTAAAGCTCCATATAGCAGATATAATATTGAATTATAATGCAATGTAGTAATAAAATATAAATATTTAAAGTTTTTTTTTTTTATAGTATCTTTAGCCGATCTAATAAAAAGACATATAAGGTATGATTTTAAAGAGGAATGTGTAGAGCTTTGAGCAAAGTTACAAGAAATCCCTGGTAGTATAGCAGTAACTACTGACATTTGGATAACTAATTCATTTGATAAGTCATTTATGACAGTAACTATTCATATCTTAATAATTTATAGAAACTTAGAGGCATTTTGTTAGACTTTATTAATATAAAAAAATCACATATGGGTGCTAAAATCTCAAATGCAATGGAAATATATCTTCAAGAGATGGGAATCATTTCAAAAATAGTTGCGATTACACATGACAATACATCTTCCAATAATAGATTTTTGCAAATTTTTGCAAATCTTTATTACAAAGTAATATTCAGTTTGACAGTACTCAGCAATTAGTTCGATGCTTTGCCTATATTTTAAATCTCGCAGTGCAAAGCATGCTAAATATTGTAGAAGATAAGTTAGAAAGAGTTAGTATTTCTATTAATTAAACGTAATTGGGTTAAGTTTATTAATTCTATTATTTTTTATTTATTTATTTATTATTTTATTTTTTTTATTTAGTGCATGTATTAATTAGAAGTATTAGAGGATCATCAAAACAGTATGAGAAACTAAGAATAGTATATCAATTTCATGGTATTAATTAATTAAAGCCAATTCTCGATATAAGCACTAGATAGAATTTGACTTTTGAAATATGTAATCAGGCTGTGATGCTACAAATAGTATTAGATACTGTTACTTTAGCTAAAACAGATTTGCAACAGCATGTTCTTAATAATAATAAATGAGAAACAATTAAACTTTTAGTTAAAGTTTTGAAACTATTCAAAGACGGTTAGTAAGTTATTTTATAAGATGTAATAATTTATAAATTTTTTATTTAAAAAAAATAAAAACCAAATTTGTATATATCAATTGGATATAGCAATGACTATTATATCTTCATCCAAGTATCCAATGTTATTAATGATCATTTTTCTTAATTATATATTGCTTGAAATACTCAAAGAAATTCAACAAAAATATAATACATCGCAGTAGCTTATACAAAGATATCAAGCTGCAACTACTAAGCTTCTAGAATATTGTCAAAAAACCAATATATAGCATAGTTCAGCAATAGTGTTAGACCTACAGCTTAAATTCTAGTATTTTGAGAAACTTGGATAGTCTTCTCAACTTATTACTCAAATCAAAGATAGATTAGTTTGTAATATAAAATATACAGATATATATTAATTTATACAATATGTATATTTTTATAATATTAAAAATAAATATAAAAATCAGTATGCTTCTGTTTCTAGTTAATATTTAACAAACTCAATTGTTGAATCTTCTACATCAAATATAATCTCACAAATTTATAAAAGAACACATGTTAAACATCAGAGCGAGCTTGATTTATATATATCTGTACCATGTATTGATCTAAATATAAATATTCTAGAATAGTGACGAATAAT